ATAAAGGATTGAATCACACAAGGTAAGAGTTTTCCCTACTAATTCATTCAAACTATGCACTTTCCTGAGTGTCAGCAATTATAATTCTCCCAAACTATAAAAATGTCCAAATATAAACTAGGCAACCAGTATTTCACACCTGTAATCCTAGCTACTCAAGGGGCTGTGATCTGAGGATCACGGTTGGAAGCTAGCCTGGACAGGAAAGTCCATAAGACTCTTATCTCTAATTAATCACCAAAAATAGATGGAAGCAGATGTATGGCTCAAGTGGTAGAGCACTAGCCTTGAGCACCAAACCTGAGGGACAGGCCCTAAGTTCCAGCCCCAATACTAACACAAAAATAAATAGACAGACAGACACAGACAGACAGACAAACAGATAGACAGACAGACAGACATATAGAAAGACATTTTTAAAATGTCCATTTATAGCTAGCTGATACTCTGTCCTTAGTCCTAAGATTTACATTTGTCCAGGGGCTCTGGGCTCAGTCTCCCCACAATAATACTGTGAGTCACAGAAGAGGCTGACTCACGCTTGTGTATAACTAGTTTTCAAATGCATTCATTACTGACAGAATAAAGTAATCGGATATTCTTTAAATTTATATGCATCTCAAACCATTTTTTATTATTTCATATTTTGCAATGTTCCAAGCAGAAGTTCATGTATCACTGACTCCAGCAGTAATCTATATTTCACTAAAAAAGTATTATTCTTGGAAGAGAAGAAAGGGTGGAAGCTGTCTTTCCATTTATGACCTACCCTCAGGAGTCCTAGAGCATAAGCAAGCATCTTCAATAGTAAGACTTCCCTCCCTGCTATGGGTTTGAATACTTCTCACACACACACACACATACTCTCTCTCTCTCTCTCTCTCTCTCTCTCTCTCTCTGTGTGTGTGTGTGTGTGTGTGTGTGTGTGTGTGTGTGTGTGTGTGTTGGGTACTTAATCTCTGATGCAACCGTTTGGGGAGTTGGTTCCTGATGGGTCGTGTTCAGGCTCAGTGTTTAAAGGCTGAAGATGTGATTTCTTGTCTTCACCCTACCTTGCCATTTTCCCCCTGCACCATGGGATGACCCCATCAGACATCAGAGGTGAGAGCCAAATAAATGTGGTCATTATAAATCCTTTCTCCCCAAAGCAAAAATAACTCTTGGCCCAGAATTTCAAAACCTTTACTATCTTGTTTTCTGAAACCTGCTAAGTAGCGATGGTCATTAATACTGCACTCATGATGATCTTGATGTATGTGTTTTTACTCCAATTCCAAATCCTTCATTATTTAAGGCCACATACTTTATAGTTTCTTCCTAGCTTTTATTCACATCAAAGGTAAATGTAGTACAACCATAGCTGTGTGTGAGTTTTATATCCATGAAACTGCTCCATTCCTTACCTTCGATACATTTGCATTTATATGGATGGTGGAAGTAGTTTCTAAACATAATTTTTTTTTTTTTTGGTCAGTCGTGGGGCTTGAACTCTGGGCTTGGGCTCTGTCCCTGCGCTTTTTAGCTCAAGGCCAGCACTCTACCGCTTGAGCCACAGTGCCACTTCCAGTCTTCTACTGGTTTATTGGAGATAACAGTCTCACGAACATTCCTGCCCGGGCTGGCTTTGAACCGCGATCCTCAGATCTCAGCCTCCTGAGTAGCCAGGATTACAGGTGTGAGCCACCAGCGCCTGGCTTAAACATAAACTTTTTAAAAAAGCAACTATGCCTGTAATCCTAGCTACTCAGGAAGCTGAGACCTGTCCACCTCTGAATGAACTAGCAAATGCTGGACTGCCAGCATGGCTCTAGTGGTAAGGCGCCAGCTACAAGAAAGCCAAATGAGAGTAAAACACCCTCAGTGTAAGCCCTTTAATACGGGCAAAAAAATATTTTTTTTAAAAAAGTGCTTTGTTAAATGTGAAATGGAGACTAGCAGGCTCATTCAAATCTAAATTTATCTACTGGCTTTTGCAAAGTAATCCACCCAAAAGAATGTGATTCATATCTCAGCTATGCCACAGCTAAATTTTCAATGTGTTTTGAAGTAGGTGCCATTAAAGAAAAGAATAACAGTCATAACCTTGGCATTATGACACTAAAGGCAATTGAGAGTCTTTAAAAATATAAAATGTAGTAACACAAGTACATCATAAAGCACTAAAAAATACATATGAATAAAAAAATAAACAAAAGAAAAATAATGACCCCCCAAACGCCAAGACAGTCAATGTGATCTTTGGAGTCTATATCCTATTCCATTTTTTTAAGATCTTTTTCACATAGATGGCTTCATATATCACATAATTTTAAATGAACAGCATACAAAGAACATATTCCAGCATTTACATATATATATGCTCATGAATACATATACACCACTATATCCCTTCTTATGAATGCAACATCTACTTTATGCATAGCTCTAATTTAATCAGCCTCACTGCCATTGTATATAACAAGTGAACTCTGGTGAAATTCAGTGAGTTTCCCACCATGTCTTAGAGACACCCTCTTTGAATTATACATTAACAGTCTTAGAACTTGGAGCCTTTCAAAATACTTTGGGAAATTATGACCCAGTCAATGCCTAGTTTGGGATTTTTATGGTGTTTCCACATTTTTTCTATTATAAATAATGCTGTGCTCAACTTCTTGCACATACATTGATATGCACTGCCTGAGGGAGAAAACTATAAGTAGAATGACTTGGCCAATCCACATATTCTTGTTAAAAATACATTAGAGACCCTCCTTTAACACCAAAAACCATAATCATTTTTGCCAAAATGTCCACTAGCAGTCTATGAATGTTATTAGCCTTTATAAATGATAGATTTAAAGAGTATTTTCAGTCAGACACTGGTGGCTCAGGCCCGTAATCCTACCTACTCAGGAGTCTGAGATCTGAAGATAGCATCAACCTTGAGTAAAAAGCTAAGCAAGATCCAAGGGACCTGAGTTCAAGTCCCAGTAATTCCCTCCCATCCTTCCATTTCCCCCCCACCCCAAAAAAGTCAATGCTGAAATCTGAGATCGTAGTTCAAAACTGGTGTGGGAAGGAAAGTCTGTGAAATTCTTATCTCCAAGCAATCACTAAAAATTCAGAAGTGGAAATGTGGCTCAGGTGGTAGAGCACCAGCCTTTAGCAGAAAAGATAAAGAACAGTTGCTCGGTGCCAACAACAACAAAGAAAGTTTAAGGACTCCTCCTAGAGGCCCAGCATTTTGCAACTTATATAATTACTCTTCAATGGGCGTAGCCAAAATAGTAGCCATAGATAGCAAAACTCAATGGAGTTTGCCTCAGGAAACTGTTTAGGAATAGACCTGCTCACAATCCAAAGAACTGACAAATAGAGACATTTGATCGCTTCACTCTCATTTTCCTCATCACTTTTACGTATTTCCAAATTCTGTTCTCTTAAGAAGATATAGATGGGGGGCTGGGAAGGTGGCTCAGTGGTAGAGCGCTTGCCTTGCATGACTGAGGCCCTGGGTTTGATTCCTCAGCACCACATAAGCAGAAAAAGCCGGAAGCGGCGCTGTGGCTCAAGTGGTAGAGCGCTCGCCTTGAGCTGAAGAGCTGAGGGACAGTGCCCAGGCCCAGAGTTCAGGCCCCACAACCGGACCCAAAAAAAAAAAAAGAAGAAGATATAGATGGGCTGGGTATATGGTGCAAGAGAGAGCGCGCCTGCCCAGTAATGTCCTGGGAACACTCCTCTGCATCACAAAAACAAACAAAAAAGCTAAATAAGATATTAATAAGTCTTTACATTTATGCAGAACTTCATCCTTCTAAAAACACTTCAAACATAAAGAAGCTTACAGGCTAGAACACGGAGATCATGCTTTCAACTATACAAACCACAGAATATGCAGTAACCTCCAAACCATCATTCAAGCTATATAACAAGCAACACATATTTACAGCCAAGAATATCAAATCCAAACTCTTTGCCAGCCCACCCCAGCGTCATGAAGGAAATGTGGATCTTAGGACATGCAATTTCCATTGCACGTTCAGCACAGACTTCTACAGTTTCAAATAAGAAAGAAGCTCCCACCAGAACTACATGGATGGTTCATGTAGGAAAAACAAAAAACACAGAATTTAAGATTCTTTCTGTTCTTTGTTTTTAAAGTGACCCTGGAGGTAATTCTGCACCTCAAAGTAACTCTCAAAGTTACCTAAGTATAGTGCTCACACCCAGCCTGGAGTTCTATGTAATTTGCAGAGCTCAGAAAGGCCGTGCTTGCACAAAAACATCTCCCCTTAAAGCCAGCCTTACCATCATATGGGAAGCTTTTCAAAGATACTGAAATTTGTATTCAATAGGTTTGGAAAGGAGCCAGTGCATCTGCATTTGTAAAAACTCCCCAGTTGATTCATTTGTGCAGCCAGGATCGAAAAAGCACTCGGTTATATAATAAGATGTGGGGGAAGGGCAGGGGAGGAAGGTATCCTGAGGTCCCCAGTATAAATGTTTCTGAATGGAAACCACTCATTGGTCTGAGGCTGCCTGGTTTGATTACCCAGGGGGGAAACTGTCCCTTGAGAAGGTTCATAGGAAATTTCAAAAAGAGGATTGAAGACAGGATGCCTGGTAGCCTAGCACCGGCCACCAAGAAGGAAAGCCAGGGAAGATACATGGAAACAGAACAAAACCATGAAAAGATCCTTTCCTGCCACAAACTATGGTATTCCCTTCTTTAAACACACTTTTCTCCTCCATTTTCAGAAAACAAAAGGAAAAATGCCCAGCTTTTCTGGTACATTCACCAAACAATGCCAGTCAACCTACAAGGAGACAAAACCATGTTGACAGATGAAGACATGACACTCACCAACATTATATTAACTTTCAGAAAACAAGTGTTAGAGTTAAGTTAGTCAAATCAAGTTTGCCTTCTAAGAACAGTACCAAACCAGCCAAGAAACCTGTCTTCTAAACTGTTCATCCATAAAAATCCAGAGTTATCTTTAGCTTCCATTACTTACCAGATCTGGACTTAATGATATCACTGAATTCATTCTGCCCATCATCAGGCCTGGCTTCATGTTCTCCGTACTTGGCCATCTCGACTATAAATTTCAGTGTAATCCAAAGACTCTCCTAAATCCTCTTTATAAGACTGTCAGCTTTATATAATGGGCCAGCTTGACAATATCAGTACCTAAAGAGAAAATGGAAAGTACTTATAGATAGAAATGGACATAGGTATAGATATCACACAAATATAATCAAATCGGAGGTATACAATTGTGTGCAGTAACCATTCAGCAAATATTTATTGACTGCCTGCCACATCCAAGGCCCAGCTCCAGGCCACAGGGATTTGACTATGAACAAGAAGCAGAGCCTCTACATTGCCTATAGAGTTGAGAGACACTAAGCAATTAATTCTACAATCGATTATTAATATAGGAGCATATCATTAATTATGTAATCAATTAATTATACAATACCAATGGCCTACCAATGTACAAAGGAGAAACACAGAGTAAAACATACAGAAGAAGAATCTGACCTGCCCAGTACTGAGAGGACTTACTTAAGAAATGACATGGGAGCCCAGCCTTCAAAGACAATTAGAATTACTTAAAAAGGGGAGTGAGACAGGAGTTGGAAAAAAAAAGTTGAAAAAAAAGTGGGGGGGAGTGGGGCAAATGAGAGCTTCCTCTGTGACTTAGCAGAAAGAATCAGAGAACAGTCCAGAGAGGAGGCCAGTGTGGTTGGAGAGGAGACAGGGACATCTGTCACACCTGGGAAGAAAGGGAGGTGGGACCAGTGGTGGGGTCAGGTCAAGGCTTTGGGTCCATATCTGAAGAGATTAGAAACCCAACAGATGCAGGGAAGTGATGTGATCAGTCTGCTGGCTTGGAGCGGGAGTGCAGTGTGTATGAGGAACCATACCATGAAGACTAAAGCAGAACTCAGTAATACATTAATGAAGTACTGAGGCCATGGAGTATGGATGTTCAAATTGTGTGTGTGTGTGTGTGTGTGTGTGTGTGTGTTTGACAGTACAGGGGCCTGAACTCAGGGCCTCAGCAGTGTTTTTTACCCATATCGCTCAAGTTTAGTCCTCTATCACTTGATCCACAGCTCCATTTCCAGCTTTTTGCTTCATTAATTGGAGACAAGAGTCTCTCAGCCTTTCCTGCCCAGGCTGGCTTCAAACAGGATTCTCAGATCTCAAGCCTCTTTAGTAGCTAGCATTACAGGCATGAGACCCCAGGGCCTAGCCAAATTACTAGACCCTGAAGGTTCAGAACACCAATACTACAATGCAGAACAGCTTCCCAGTTGGGAATAGGGACTCTTCCACTAAGCTGGAGGACAGGAAGGGTGATAGGCTGGGAGGAAGAAATAATGAATAGTCAGGATATTCTGAGTTTGAAGTGCTGTGAGATCCACAGGGGAGAAGACAAAGATGCAGATCTGGGTCTCAGGAATGGTCTGGGTAAGAAGACATAAACCTAAATAGAGATACATATGTCTACCCAGACAGATCTGGTTCTGGAAGAAAGGTTCAGCACCTGAGTTTGGCTAGTACAGGCAGCTTGCAGATCAAATACTGATCTTTTGCAACAAGTGAGAAGCATCTTTAGAATCTAAAGAACTGAAGAATCTACAAAAGTAAATAAATAAAGCCCATAGCTTCTCAGGAGACTGAGATCCAAGGATTACAGTCCAAAGCCAGCCTCGTTAGCAAAGTCTGAGAGACTCTTATCTCCAATAAACTACCAAAAAGTAGAGAACCAGTAGCTCAAGTGGCAGAGTGCTAGTTTAGCAAACAAAGCTGGAGGACAGGACCCGGCTCTGACATCAAGACCCAGAACAGATACCATAAAGTTGAAGAATCTGCCCTGCAGTGCCAACTTTTCTTTAAGAATGTCAATAATTAGAGGTCTGTACTCAGGGAACACACTGCCCTATCACCCCAGACAGAGCAGAATCCAGTCCTAAATTGAGGAGTCAGTCTCTGCCCTGATAACAGCTCTGGTAAGATTACTCTGAATTAGGAGGGGGAAGAGGAGGAAGAATAACCTGAATGCTAATTAAATAAGTTAATCATTGAACAGGAAATGAAACAATCAACAGATCCAAACAATCTGCAGATAAGCTAAATTAATCCACATATTAAAACAAATAACAGAACTAGGGTTCCTGCTGGCCAATATTGAACAATTCAGTCCTTTAAAACCAAAGACAAGGGGCTGGGAAGGTGGCTCAGTGGTAGAGCGCTTGCCTTGCATGCCTGAGGCCCTGGGTTCCATTCCTCAGCACCACATAAGCAAAAAGAAAAAAGCTGGAAGTGGCACTTTGGCTCAAGTGGTAGAGCGCTAGCCTTGAGTTAAAAAGCTGAGGGACAGTGCCCAGGCCCAGAGTTCAGGCCCCCCAACCGGACCCCCCCCAAAAAATAACAAAAACCAAAGACAAATTGCACAGTACTGTTATTTTCAAATATAGGTTATTTGATATTTATATGATATTTAGTATTTTAGTTTTTGTTTTATGATACAATTTCAAAAAGAATACCATACAGCATAGTTTTGTTACTTAAGTATAAATAATAGGCTATTCATTATAACATTTTTCTGACCAAGTCAAGATATAGGTCTATTCTATTAAAAGACATTGGTGTCTTGTGCCTGCAATCCTAGCCACTCAGGAGGCTGAGATCTGAGGACTGTAGTTCAAAGCCAGCCTGGGCAGGAAAGTCCTTGAGACTCTTATTGCCAATTAGCCACCAAATATCTAGAAGTGGAGGTGTGACTCAAGTGGTAGAGCACCATCCTTGAACAAGAAAAGGTAAAGGTCAGTGCCCAGGCCCTGAGTTCAAGCCCTAGTAGCCAACACAACAAAACAAAACAAGACAAAGCTGAAGTAGACAAACATCAGTAAATTGCTAAAGCTTTAAGAACAAGTCTCTCTGGCAGAGGTGAATGTATGAACTGTATAATCAACCTTCCACATGTTATAAGAACATTAAAAGGAGCTTTTAAATTCTCATATGGGTTAACCATTATCCAAAATTATAAGTAATTATTTCATTATGTTCTTATTTTCAGGTGCAACACTGTGAAAGATTTGTTAAATTCTTAAATGTCTTAGTCTACCAAGTACCAAAAACCTTGTTCAAAAGAATGGGCAGGGCACCAATGGCTCAAGCCCATAACCCTAGCTACTCGGAAGACTTCTGAAGCCATCAGTTCAAAGTGAGCCTAGGCAAGAAAGTTCATGAAACTCTTATCTCCAATTAACCACCAAAAAGGCAGAAGTAGAACTGTGGCTTGAGTTTGTAGAGCACCAGCTTTGAGTGGAAAAAAGTTAAGGGGCAGTGCCAGGGCCCTGAGCACCAGCCTTAGTCCTGGCACAAAAATAAACAGCTGTCACTTGTTGCCACAAATGGCCTGTGGACACTGGTTTGAGCAACAGAGATAAAGTATGCCTCCTCCTAAATCATCCAAGACTGAAGCAAATGCAGGCACTTATACCTGGCTGTCAGGAGGAAAAGTTGTAGCACTAAGTTTCAAAGTGACCATCAATTGCACACTGTGCTAAGGGGGAAGGTCTACAACAGCAAGGAAGGAACTGAGAACGGCTGCACGGGGTGTTTGCTTTAGGAGCCTTAAATTCTACACAACTGTCATTTGCTGTGAGTTGCCACTTACTATCAAGTTTAGCCAGACAATGAAACAAATCCAATGAGCTCTCCCTTCACCTTCTCTCTTCCTTTCCTTCTGCCACCCGAACCAGAAAGGCCGAAAGAGGTCACAATAAACCCAAGCAGAAAGGCAAAACTAACGGGTGTTTTTGTTTGGCTGGTTGGTTGGTTTTATTGAGAATTTTTTGTTGTTGTTTGTCTGTTTGATTTGGGTTGGGTTTCCTTGTATTTGGGGATCACACAACATAAAGAACATGCACCATTCAACAAGGTGGCTGCGAAGAAGGAAATCTTCACCCAAGTGTAACAGGGATGGAAAGAATCTTGAACCCGTGGATGAAAGCCAAGCGCTTTACCCTCGGAAGCAAAGCCTGGGAAGCCGAGCTCCAGGCCAAGGGAAGCCAAGGGAGCGGGATGTTGCTGTTGGGCTGGAAACGGAGCAGAGCGAGCAGAGAGCCAAGAGCTGCCATGCACACTCGGAAGCGCTGCAGGGGAGGTTAATACTACCGTGATTAATACTGTTTACAGGAGCAATAAACGTTGGGTAAACACCCAAAGCAGCCTTAGAGTGCGAGCCGTCTCCTCGGCGGAGGGGTGTGAGGTAGCCCCACGCGAGCCCTGGCCCTCACCGCCCGCTGCAGGGCCCACGCGATTCGCATTCCTGCCCGAAGGCTGAGCACCCCCGCGCCCACTACCCAGCCACGACAGCAAACTCCACGCCGACACACGCGGCTGCGGCCACCAAGACCAGCCCGGGCTCGGGGCGCTCCGGCCATGCCGACCCCTAGTGCGCCATCGGGAAAAGTCACCCGCCAGGTCCTCGGTGACCCCGGCGACCTGGGCGTTCTCCCGGGTTGACTCCGGGGAGTAGGGGCGGCAGTAACACCGAGTTCTCCAAACAGATTCTCTAGCTAGCCCTCGGGAGTCGGGCGCATTTTCTTTCCTCGCCTGGAAAACAGCAGCTCATCAGAACGGGTCTCTGGGAATCCAGGGCGTTCCAGAAAAGTGTCTTTAAACAAGGCGCCTTCCCCCCAAAAAAGTTGCACGGCCTTACCATCGGAGCTCCGTGGGGTTGGTAAGTTGGCCCTGGGCAACCAGAGCCCCGGCTCTTGAGCCCAAGTTAGACTGGGAGTAACGAATTACCTGGTCGAGTGCAGCCCGAGAAGCCACGAGTCCAGAAAACCAGGCGATCGCGCTGGACGACGCACCAACGGGGCACCCGGTCCCCCAGCTGCAGCCCGGGGGCCGCCCGATCGCCCCACCCCGGGGAGCAGCCACCCGGCCGGGGATCGAACACGTCTCCAGGCAGGCGCTGGGAAGCGCTCCCCGGCCCGCCGAGCAAACCGCCACCCTCTCCCACCCTCGCCAGGCGGACAGGGCCCGGGCCCCGCCTTCCCGGGGCCGGGGTGTGTGACAGGCTCTCCTAGAAGGCCACGTCCCCGGTTGGAGATCACTGGCCTGGCGCCCTACTTGGCGACGCGACGCACCCGGGCGAGCCCCTCTCTCCACCCCGCCCGGCGGGGAGGAGGTGGAGGGAGCCGAGGCGGCCGCACCGATCCTGTCCACGATCCTGCCTGGAGTCCCCGGCACGAACTCGCAGAGATCCCGAGGACCCGGCCGCCCCAGTCCTCCCCACGCGTCGGGTATTCTCTATCCGGGCCGGGGGAGCCGAGCCGAGCGTCCAAGGAAAGTGCAGGCAGAAGTGGATTCCATCCCCAACTTAAGAAGGCACCCGCAGCCCCGACCCCCGGGCCCTGGAGACACAGAAAGGTCCAGACTCCGCCCACCCACCCACCGCCCCCTTCCCCCCCTCCCGCTCCCGCGCGGGGCGGGGCGGGGGGGGCGGAGGTCTCCGATCCCAGCCCCGGGCTTCGGTTCCACCCGCTGTGGCTTACCTGCCGGCCTGCGGGCGCCTGCCCGGGCTCCACCGGTGTTGGGGGCCCTGCGATCGGCCGCGGGGAGGTGCCCGCGCGCGAGTTGGGTGGTCAGAGGGGTTGGGGTAAGGGACTAATTTTTTCTTTTTCTTTTTCTTTTTTTAATGAATGTGAAAAAAAACTGGACCGGAGCAGGCCGAGGAGAGGAATTGACACCCGATCGGAAACGCCCCCAGACCGGTGCAATCTTCCTGCCCCCCCCGGGGGGAGTTCCGCCGGAGACAAAAACAAAACCGTCCGGGCGCAAGCCGGGGCCGGCGCGCGCCTTCCACCTCGCCGTCCCCCAACAGCAGAGTTTGACTCCGAGAGAACGGGGAGCCCCGCTCTACCCCCCACCCCGCGATCAGATCCCCCCCTCTCCACTCCCCGGGGCTGCGCGAGTTCGAGGCTCCTCCTCGCCCCGCGGCGGGAGAAAGCCCGCGGCCGCCGCCCGCTGCCCCGCTCTCCTCCGAGGAAAGGCGGCGACTCCACAACTTTGTGCGCCCGGG